GTTCTTATTGCACGACGTGAGTTTAAGGATTGCTCCGTGAAGGACGGGAGTCAGGGAGGGCACAAATGTAAGCATTGGCCCCTGGGCACAGGAGACCCACGGTACATCACTGCATGGGGTTGGTACAGGACATGCACTGCATGTGGTGCCCTGCCAGACTGTTTCTGTGTGCTAACTGTGGGTCTCGTGTGGATCAGGTCAGGCATGCAGTGTGCGCCCTGTACCAGGCCCCGGTGATGCATTCAGCACATGCGCTGGTCCAGTCCCCTCTACTACGTTCAGCATGGCTGGGCCCCAGACTTGCTGTGTATGCAGCACAGGAAGCTGGCATAGGGCTTGCGCTGCATGCAGTGTGTAGATTGGAGCTGGCATAGCAGACAGCATGGGGATTTCAGGGCACTGGGCCCTGCATGCTGACTCCAGCATACACTGACAGCTTGAGGCTCATTCCAGACCAGTACTGGAGCCAGTGTACAGGGCCAGTCTGGTGCAGGCAGTGTATGCAGCCCACACCCCAAGGCCCTGTGCTGTGTACAGTGCTAGGTCCAGCCTGCAAGTCACACAGAGCACCATCCTTGGGACAGGGCCCGTGCATGCTGGATGGGCTGGATCTGGCACCGCGAGTATTGCACACAGCACAGGGGTGTTAGTCCTGACCTGGCCCACGAAGCAGCTCAGTAACCCTGACCTCTAACCTAATGCTGTCTAGTTTCTTAGATTGTCTAACAGGATCACTGTGGAGCATAATATGAATGACACAGTAATGGTTTCCTAAAACAGGATTATGTAATACATCCAGAATATCCCCAGGAACTTCCTTGAAAATTTCTGTAAAGAGAAACCACAAGGCAACAATTTGAAGGACGTTTGAATAACTTGGAACAGTGCTCTTGGTACTGACTCCAGCAGACAAGAAGTGAGGTGTGGCTCCAGAGTGAACAATCCCTCCATGAGAACAAGTTATTCAGATTTGTGGCAGAAGGTGATAGTTTTGGCTCTTCACACTCACTTTATCATAGTTCTTCTTTATTAACAGTGGGAAAAAATTTAAACTGACTTACACAGGTGATCTGTTCTTCCCTTTCTCTCATCGAGAAGAATTTTTGTCTAAATCTTATTAGCTTGTTTTTCTCCATGGGGAATTCTATTGGCAGACCACTTCATGCAGACCCAGATTTATCCAGGAAAGAAAGAGATGCAGTCCACGGGCTTTTACACAATAGCAGGGAGATAACAAAAAGATAAAGGACTTCTCACCACATAATCTGGGAAAACTATTGCACAGCACATTTAAAGGATTTGTTGATTACAATTCACAGACAGAGGCTTGCACTAGGAACGTGACTGGATAGAACATTTCCCTCTAAGATTCTCCCCTAGGGCTGTACCATTTTGTGAGTGGAGGTAATGTAAAAGCTAAAGCTAAATTAAACCCTGGGGTCCACACTATCCAATGGATTTGGCAGGTAACATTTTAAAAAAATGTCCATTTATTGTGTTAACCTGTCAAAACATATATCCACCAGGGACATCAAGAACCAGATACTAAGTTTCAAATGAACTATTAAAAATAGTTGGATGGGGACTGGGGAGGTGGGGTATTTTTCCCCCAAGACTGTCAAGGCTCTGAATAGGAGTCTCTTAGGGCACTTAATAATGAGTTTAAGTCTAATAAAACTGATGTTCATTCTGATGACCTACAGTTCAGATGTAAAAGCAGATATGACAGGGGTGAGCAAAATACAGCCTGTGCAATTGATTCTATCAGGCCCATGTCGCCAGCAGCAGCTGCAGCTGGCAAGCCCACGGGCAGCAGCTTGGACTCTGGCCTGTGCTGATACAGTTGGGGACCTTGGGTGGAAGCATCCCCCACTGCCCACCTGGCTGCCTGGTGCTATTCAGGGGTCTGGGAGATAGACTCTGAACCCCCAGTGCCAGGTGGGTGGGTGCGTGGGGCTGCTTTTGCCCAGCGTTCTCCACTATGCCAGCAGAGGCTGGAGCCCTGCCTACCCATTTGGCACTTTGCAGCAGGGGTGTGGGGGTGAGACAAGGAATTGAGCCCTCTGCCCTGGCCCCTCCCAGCCAGGGTCTGCACAATATGGGGGGGGGAAATTCTCCCCCTGCAGCCTGGTTGCAGGTGGCAATGAATGCCAAGGCTTCACCCTCAGTGCAATGTGGCTCTCAGTCCTGGTCCTGCCTGCTGGTGTCTGAGAAGCCAAGCAGCATAGGGGAGGAGTGGGGTGGTGCATGGAGGTGCAAGGAGGAGCAGAGATAAGATGCTACAGTCCTGGGCGGGCTCATGCTTCTGCATCTGCTGCTGCTCTGGCATCAGCCTCAGCCTGGCTGTGGGGAGTTCATGTGTGTGCATGCACAGTCCTCAACAACTCACCAAAATTCATTAAGGGCCCTCTAGCCCAAATAACTGCCCACCCCTGAGATATGGTGATGTAGTGGGTGCTTCCTTTCACTTTTTCCTTGTTACCTCTTGCCACTCCTGCTCCTCTTTATGCTTTCTTGTTGCTAGTCTAAGACAAAGTTCATCTTGCTATTTTATGTTCAAATCCCTCTGAATCCTGTTACATGAACAGGGTGAGTAGACTCCAAGTGCCCTAGCAGAGAACCACTATAGAGTCATGGTCTCCCTGAGGATCCAGCACTTAAAGTAAGTTCCTCTTGCAATCATTTTCTGGTCCTACCTAGGTCCTGGAGGATTAGAATGCTGATTTGTACTTCTCTGTGGTTTGCTCCGTATTATTCCCTAGAGGTTTGAATCTCTTCCCCATTAACTGTGGTGTGTGAGTCCCTGGTAAGTACCCTTTTCTGTATCATTTACAACAGGGGTATCAAACATCCAGCCCATAGGTGACTGGTAAGGAGGGTACCGGGGGATGGGGGGGGTCATGTGCCCCCCCCGACAGGGCCGTGGCTGACAACGCCAGCAGCATCTGCAGGTGCTTGCCAGCTCCATCTGTGCTACTGCTGGTGCTGTTTGCTGTGGGTGGCCCCCCAAACTCAGGAGGCACCAATTACCCATGACCCAGCCCACAGTTTGGATTTGGCCTGTGGAGCTACTCTATCCAGCTGAACCAAATACCGTCTGGCAGCCAGAATTTGGGGAGACGTGGGCAAGAGGGGGTGGCCTGCCATAGAATCTGGACATGGTGATCAGCAGCAGGAGGGTGAGCAAGGGCTGATATAGCCCCTGTCACCCTCTGGCCCCGTTGCCTGTAGCCATCACCACAGCCCTACCTCCTTGACTGCCAGCTTTGCTCCCCCTTGCTGCAGCCACCATTTCTACCATATACCCCATGTCAGAGTAGAGCTGCCCCTACTGCCATGTCTCCTGTGCTGGAACCACCCATGACCCAGGTTGGATCTGGCCTACAAGGAGCCTTTCAGTCTGCATCTGGTCGGGGCATGTGACTTTGATTTAGAATACAGTTAAATAAAAGCAGTCCTAACACCAGTCCCTCTTGCACTCGCAGGACTCCTGCTCAGCTTGGTACCTTTCCCTTTGTCATTACCTGTTCCATGTAAGCCAGTTTTCAGTCCACCTGACAACGTTTCTAACTTTTACTTTTTCAGTTGCGAGGATGAGAGGCAGTGATAAATAGCTTACAAAAATCACGTATCATATAAAGTGATGCTGTAAGTGGCATTACTTCTATCCCTTCCTCTAATGTTTTTTAACCAGACTGATTCTTTTTGCTATGTATGTTTGCAAGAGCAGAAAAATACAAGGAGTCTGTGATGAGTAATTCCTGAGAAGGTCTAATTAGACCACCTGCAAGAACCTGGAGAATGGAGGAAGCTTAATTGAATATCAGGGTCAGCTGGGTTGAAGGTGGGTGGTTCCTAAAAGTGCATTTGGTAGGAGAGAAGAGAGTTAAGGAAAAGCTAAGATAGTTTCTGTGATGGGCTTTCTAAACAGGGTAAGGGCCTAGGGAAGAAACCCTGTGAACAGAATCCTGAAAAAGAGACCAGGAAGGAGACCTGGAACTGACAAAATGGGGTAGGAGTCCTGCAAGGATACTGACTGGGGAGAAAAGAGTGCTGGGAGCAGGATATATGCTAACAACTGACTTTCTGGTGATAGAGGTAAGGGCCCTTGAAAGGAGGCCTGGAAGGCTGAGTACTCCATGAAAGCTGCTGCTGGGGGGAAAAATGAGGTGAGTGAATTGAGGTGACCAGAAAATAGAGATTCTTCCTTTTGTCAGCCCAAAAGTGGGTATGCTGAGATGGTGTGTGTAAAAGATAGGAAGTCGTGCAAGCAGGGGGCAAGGAGTTTGATGAAGCATGCCTTATCTGCTTGTTGTAGAGTCCCTGGAATTGAATGCAGAGGACCTAGTTTCCC